GCTGAAGTATTTTTAATCTAATAAAGGTAATATTCAGTTAAAAAAGCATACCTTCAGCTTCTGTATATCTGAAAAAATCCTGAACTGAGAATAGTTTCTTCTTGTCAGGATGGTCTTCCTTGGAAGGTCGCCCTAACTGGGGTAAAAGCTCAATTAATTCTGTCAGTGACACAGTGGAGAGAGTCGTTCTCAAACGCTCAACATTGGACAATGGTATGCTAAGTAACCCATTGGCCAACCTTTGCGGTGAATTGCCTCCATTCTCTTCCTGAGTAACACCAGTGCCAACTCCTTCATCACTCGCTTCCTTCACAGAAGGTGGCACTCCTAAAATATTTGATGGCATACCTCCCACACGTGCAAACATCAAGTTCCCAAGAAATCCATTCACGTCTGCTCTCTTACCTTCCAAAATACTTGCAAGAGCCCTCAGATGATCAAACTGGTTGGAGTCAGCCGGAGTAGAAGCTGCTGTGTCACCACTATTGCATTCACTTTCCTGAGCAGACACATCAAACTTTGGCAAATTCTGACTCAACTGATCAAACACAAATCCAACAAAGCACTCAAATGAAAAATCTTTCCCTTCTTTACCCTTAGATTCATTCTGCCTAAGTTCATCTGCAACCCTGTGTTTCACACACGAATCATCAGAACAAACACCAACCCCATTACTTGTCTTCTGAACCCTCTTTTTCCCAGCTTTAAATGGGCTTGGAAAGCCTTGAACAAAACCATTAATCAAAGATGACCACGACACTGCAAACTGCAAGCAATTTGTGCATGATACCTTATCCACTTCCCCACCGTTAGCATTCCCATACCTCTCCTTCAATCGTTTCTTCTTCACATTCACATCAGCAACTCCATCACACCTACTACTATTATTCTTATTATCATTATCAATGTTACTTCCACATTTTTCTGAAAATATACCAACAAAAAATTTGATAGGATCTCCTATCAAAAGACCCCCTTTACTCTTCTCACCACAGTTCACCACCATGCACTGACCACCACCGGTACCACTTTTTTCCTTCACATTCAACTGAGCTGTCACCAGCTCAATATCAACGTTAAAAGTATTGCCAATCAATTTCCCATTTTTGGAAACACCAGGGAAACAACGCTCCAAATTTTTTGCTGCCTTTCTGAAATTAGATTCTATGGGCGAAAACACATTCTTCACAACCTGAAGCGAGTTCAAAAATGATTCAACCGGGTCATTCCCTGACACCACCATCACTCAAAACCCTAACCACTCATACAGAATCCCAGATTTTTAAATAAAATTTTCCCAATCCACTAATTCTTAACATAAAAAACCCCAAATAATACTAATAAAAGCAACAACTACAGACCCAATATTCGAACTACACCGTTTCAATACATGGGCAGGTTAAATCATTTGATGAAATCTGCAAAATGATCAACACTAGGTCATACAAAAAAATATGTATCTATGCGTAGAGGGATTTGTATTGAAACGGATGCTATTAGCTATATGGGAGTGAGATTTGTACACATACAGTTTTATAAATCCATGTTAGCAGAATAAAATAGATAATGGGATGCAATTTCTGGGAATTTTTGTTAACTGGGACTCAAATTTACATACAAATTTTAGAGGCTGATAAAATTTTGGATAAAGGGATTTTTTTTTGTATTTAATTTTTGAGGACAAATCTCAGCCTGAGGAATCTTGAAATAGTGATGTAGAAACAAGCAGGGAAGAAGAACAGGTTCTTTCCTCTTTTCCTATTTATTTTATACTCCGGATTTTTTCTTAATTCGAAATAAAAATAAAAAGGGTATTTCTTAATAAAATATTTGATTATTTGTTATGGGAAATGACAAGTATGTCCTCCTTATCAATTGAAAATGTATAAGGGTATTATTGATAACTCAGTATAGAGTGAGTGGCTGTATTTTTACTCTAATGTCACATCATTACATTTATTTTATTAGTTTTATAATGTAAAAATGTATTTATTTAAATAATTAACTTTTCTTCTGAAGGTCAATAATTAATAATTAATTTAAAGAAATGAGAATAATGTTACACGTTCACCGCATTACGTGTTTATTTAGATCTAAGCAACCTTTTTAATGTTTATAAATTGTTTATTCTCGATTAAAATTATTTGTACATAAGTTTTTGTACGTCAAAGTGTCCCACAAACAAAGCCCTTTATTTATTAATTATTTATATATTAAATTATTTTTAAGTACTCTTCTAATATATTTAATTTCTGGTTGGTGTGAATTAAAATAAGATTTTTAATAAAAATTAATAAAATATATAGTTAAAAGATTATGAATAGTGTCAAAACGTTCGTCTAAAATTAATTATTTAATTTTAACTTAATTTTAAATCCTATCAAATAGGAACTAAATATAGTAATTTTTTGACATAGTTATAATTGAATTTGATATGTGATATTTATGCCCCGTTTGTTTCTCATTTTTGTAAAAATAAAAATGAAAAATATAGTCGTTACGTACCTCACACAAGAGATAGAAATTCAAATTTGATGGTTTGATATAATGAATAACGATCATATTTTTTATTTTAATGATGGAAGAATAGGAAACAAATGAGGGCTTAGCTTATCAAAATATGTTCCAATGTTTTAGTGAATTATTTTTTGGAAAATAAATAGGTAATATCCCTTTTTGTTAATTATTTTACTAAACATTTGAATTTTGGATAAACTTGGAAGTGGATATGGATAGACACTAACGTCGGTCCTAGTCAGCATCGCGACACGTGCAGCCTCCTAATGTATTTTTTAAACTTAACTCACTGGCAATTTCTTTGGCGCATTGAATTACGTATAGTAAACGTTCAAAAAATAAAATAGTGTTTGGCACACATTTTTATCGAAAAATGAATTTTAAAAAAGTAAATTGATTGAAAATGTGTAGATAAAAATGAAAAAAAAAATTAATTTACGTGCAATATTATTTTAATAAAAAATGTGTGATTAAAAGGAAGAGGGAGAAAAATGTATTCTGATAACAATGGAAATCGAACGGGACCTAAGATTATAATTTTTTTCTCAAATTTTTTATAAATGAAAAAAAATAAATGCTCAAGTTTAAAAATATGTCTTAGCCTCAGTTTGGTCCCCATTAAATCTCATCAAATTAAATTAAAATTTTCTCTCTTCTATTTTCAACCACACAATTTTTAATAAAATAATATTACACGTAAATCAAAAACTTTTCATTCTTTTACAGCCATTCATTTTTAAAAAAAAAATAATATTTCCTCCAATATAATTAAAATTAATAGGGCCAAACGAGGCATGCATTTTAAAACATTCTAATAAAATATTTGAACAAAACTTGTAATAAAATGTGCTATCTAATTTCATATTAATGATGGGAATGCGATAATATATATATATAGATGGAGGCATAGGTATGGAAGTGAGAAATACTTGAAGATCTCTACAGTTGACAAAAATTATTTTAAGAATATAGTTACATTTGGATAAAATATATTGATATATTTTTTTTTTTTTGGTACATCATATTTTCTATTATAACTATAATAGTCTTTGCTCGTGCAATGCACGGGTTGGATTATTTTTAACGTAATACTTATGTGTTAAATATGTTGAGTTATAGTGTGTCGACTTCATCATATGCATTGATAGGTGATAAAAGAATCATTTATCATACATACTCTATTAACATATATAGATTGCATTATAATTAGAATTGATAATATGTAATTGTCCAACTATTTAGAAACTAAATGTATAAATATCAAATCACAAGCATTTATAGTATGGAATTCAATTCTTTCTTCCACGTCAACTTTTTCTCTGGACACAAAGGCTCCAGTTTCAAATGCTAGCTAACATCGAAGCTACATGACAAAAGTTAATGAAATTTATTTTTAAAAAAAGTACGAATGACTCTTTTAAAATGTTAGTTGGGCTACAATATTTAAAATAGTAGCATAAATATTTGTCATGATATTTGAAATAGTCACTAAGGTTTGCTATATGACATTCAAAATAGTCATTGTGGCGCAAGAAATGAAGAAAAATTAACGGACCAAGTCAAGATACTTAACAAACATCAAATATGATGTCTCTACTCACGAGATATTAAGACTAATAACCAAATAGATTTTTAACGATCATCCTAACTATAGATGTTAAATTGCAAGATTTTACTTAGTCAATTCACCAGATAGAAAATGATTAAATTAATATCATTAGATACACAACCAAATTTCAATCTATAAGTTATCTTAGAAACTTTCAACAAAGGTTTACTTACATGTTGAAAGAGCAAGATAGAGGTAAAATGTTGCATTCTTCTGGTCACGTTTTATAAAACACTGATATGGATACTCTCGAGGCCCTGGCTGCAAAATAAAAAAAAGTTAAAGCATCAGCCAGCATAATTTATAAAGTTTTTGGTTCAGCATAAATAAGATTTAAAGATATAACACATTTTTAAACAATAATGAAACATACTGAATGCAAATAACATAGAAAACTAAAAAACAATCAATAACCACCATATCTTTTTTTGCCCAAATCGCATATTCAATGCTTTTAGTTAATCAACTACTGCAGATTGTCTTCTCACTTCATACACTTTATATTGCAATTTCCTTCTTAAGATCTCTCTTTCGACCCTCTGAGTTTCAATATCTCAAATTTTGAGAATCAACGTGAGAGGGTTTTCTCTGTCATGGAGAAATGATAGTGACAGAGAGCAAAACCCAATTTTAAGGGATATTTTGTGTACCAGTTAATGAATAGTACAAACCAAACAAGTGTGAAAATTCAAATGACAAGAATGAATAGTGATCCCAATCCCATCTTTTAGGAGTTTTTTATTTTTATTTTTAAATTAAATATTAATAAAAAATTTCACTATCTAGAATATAAAAAGTCACTTATAAGTATAAAAAAAAAAAGCACTTCAAGTTATTTAAAAATAATAAAAAATTTATAATTTTAAAAGTTACTTAGAGGTAAAAAAAAAAATTAATCCCTCCTTCTCTTATAATTACAAAAGCTACTTATAAGTAAACAATATTAACTTAAAAAATTTTTAAGTATAAATATTTAGATATATTTAGTTTTTTTAAATTAAATATTAATAAAAAATTACACTATCTAGAATGTAAAAAGTTACTTATAAGTAAAAAAATCATTTCAAGTTATTTAAAAGTAGTAAAAAACTTATAATTGTAAAAATTAGTTATAGATAAAAAAAATATTAACTTTAACGTTTTTAAGTAAATATTTAGATATATTTAAAATTTTAAAATTAAATATTAATAAAAAATTTACTATAATTATATATAAAAAAAAATTCATACATGGAGTGCCACTAAGTATATGTTATTTATTTAATTTTTTTAATTATAGTAATTTTATTTAATTTTAAAAAATTAAATATATCTAAATATTTACTTAAAAATGTTGAAATTAATATTTTTTTTTATCTAAGTAGCTTTTACAATTATAAGTTTTTTATTACTTTTAAATAACTTGAAGTGAATTTTTTATTTATAAGTAACTTTTTACATTATCTAATCTTTTTATTAATATTTAATTTAAAAAAATATATCTAAATATTTATACATAAAAAATTTTAAATTAATATTTTTTTACTTATAAGCTTTACAATTATAAGAGAATGAGGGATTAATATTTTTTCCTATAAGTAACTTTCACAATTATAAGTTTTTTATTATTTTTAAATAACTTGAACTACTTTTTTTTTTTTTACATTCTAGATAGTGTAATATTTTTATTAATATTTAATTTAAAAATAAATATATCTAAATATTTATACTTAAAAAAATTTAAGTTAATATTTGTTTTACTTATAAGTAGCTTTTACAAGAATAAGTTCATTTTACTTTAAATAACTTGAAGTTATATTTTTAGTCATAAGTAACTTTTTATATTTTAGAAATAAAGAATAGCTATTATGTAAAAAAATTATTTAAAAAATATTGTTACTAATAAAATTATAGGATATGGTCGATAGTTGATAGCGTGAGAAAACAAAGAAAGAGTACTGTGCGTCAGATTCAAAGCATGTAAGCTACAGGTAAAATATAAAACGACGTCGTTTCTACTCCATCAATTAAAAAAAAAACTATATTGTGACAAAATATTATTTAAAAGATATTACTATTATTAAAATTATAAGATATGATTGACAATTGATTGCGTGAGAAAATAGAGAAAAAATATTGTTTGTCAAATTTTAAATGACCAAATCAGTTTTAAACCTGTTCGATGTGAAAACTAATGTAACAAAAATAAACAGTAAGATAAGGAGGGATAATATAATCAAAAAAATAAACCACTTTAACCAAACCTATTTCAAACCAATTGAATGTAATTAAATACTAATAAAAAGATTGCACTAACTAGAATGTAAAAAATTACTTATGAGAAAAAAAAATCACTTCAAGTTATTTAAAAGTAATAAAAAACTTAAAATTGTAAAAGCTACTTATAGATAAAAAAATATTAAATTAAACATTTTTAAATAAATATTTAGATATATTTAAAAATATTTAGATACATTTTTACTTAAAAATGTTGAATTTAATATTTTTTTAAATATATCTAAATATTTACTTAAAAATGTTGAAGTTAATATTTTTTTTTATCAATGAGTAGCTTTTACAATTATAAGTTTTTCTATTACTTTTAAATAACTTGAAGCGATTTTTTTACTTATACGTAAC